TTCTCCTGCTGCTTCCATCGCCTGGTTGGTACCCCAGCTGTCCCAGTGGACCGAAGCCAGACAACACACATAGCTCTGGAGTGTGTCTGCACTTTGTGACCCAGGACTGTGTGTGTGTGTGTTTATAGTTTTGAGTTCTGTGTGTTTGTATGTGAGACTATATGGTCTGTTCCAATATCAAGCAAAAAAAAAGGCTTGTGTAAAAAGGTCCAGGCAACACAAGTTCCTCTGGTGGATCACGACAAAGCTCGCAGTGACATCAAACAAACCACATAGAGAATATTTTATAACATGCAAACAGACATCACAAAAGCACTGCGAGGCCTCGGGGCGATCCTTCACGTTTCAGGCCCTCTGTCACATCCCTAAATACAGGTTGAGGGAGTCTGCTCTCACAGACAATTGACAGGAAGAACAAATAGAAGTACATTTGAAGCCTTAATGGTCGATGCAAAATACACTTAAACATATTCAAAGCGATGTGAGTAACGATCATGTAGATTTATGTTCTTAAACTTCAAGATTAAAGCTTTTTTTTAGGTCCCATTGTCCTGAAAAGAAGCTTGTACAATCTAATGGAGGCTCTTTAGATTAAAAGCTGATTTTGCTGAATTTACCCCTCATACTAAAAATGGAGGTTTTAAGCCCATGATTCGTCTCACACAAAGAGTATTGACAACGTCGCCTGCAGGCACAATATATAATGGATCCAGAGGTATCCACACATGACAAGATCAAGAAGAACAAACAGGGAAACAGATGTTTACACTTTGAGCCAAACATGGAACAGCAAGCAGGTCAGGATTTCTTAACCCTCCCATGGTAATCAGAGAACTGTCACCACTCCGCCCCTCCTCGGCCACGCTCACCAACAGAACGGATCCTGCTGTGGCTCCATATGGTCTGAAGGCTTAGGCTCCTTCTTACATAGAAGAGAGCGGAGACGCACCATCTAACTTGTGTGGTTCAGAGAAGAGAAGTCAGTCTGCCAAAGGGATGTAGGGACATATGAGCTGCGGACCATATGGTCAGAAGGTGAATGGATTGGTGTCTAATGGGATTGATCTAATCTGCTTTTACGTTAGAAAGAGAAGAGAGAAAGAGAGAGAGTCATTTAGATTTCAAAAACTTACTGTAATATAGTTAGCATGAGTATATATATATATATACATATACATATATATATGTATATATATATATATACATATATACGTATATATATATATATACATATACATATATACGTATATACATATATATATATACATATACATATATATATATACATATACATATATACGTATACATACACTAGATTCACATTTATTTTAACAATAAACGCTTGAAATTATGAGGGCATTTGCAAATGATAAGGTAGTACAAAATGTAAAGCATACTTTGGTTTTTAACTTTTACCTCTTTACTTTATGTATATAATTATTTCCTTCCTCAATTATACATATAGATATAAATAGATATATCTATATATAAAATTGGAGGAAGTAAAGAATTAGGACCAATAAACTCACCAAAACAGGATAATCTCCTCTCATATATTGTCTACTCGTCTGTTTGTTTGTTCAACCTGATCTCATAATCATTCGGTTAAACCCCGACACCAGAGTGAGTCACGCCCAAACCGATGAGAAATAACGATACCCACATCATTTCACCAGGACATGTCCTTCATCCTCTCAAGAACAGCTGGCATTGATCACCCGGCTCACATTCCCCCCTCACACATACCCACTCACCAAACACCACCTCACCTGGCGTCTTCTTCAGTAGGCGATGTTGCTCAACCGGTTCTTCCTCCTGCGCGTTTACCTGACTTCTTCTTCCCTCAGAAGTGTAAACAACCCATGAATCATCAGCGTTACAGGAAATCAGACGAGCATCATTGTTTCACCCGAGAGTCTTCCCACTCTTTTCTTCACGGGAGTATTTCTGGTAACGTTCCCGTAGATGTATGCATCTGCTCTGTAAGCCATACAGGTGACGGTGTGGCATGAGAGGCAGGAGCAAAGCTGAGGCACATTATGAAGAGGTGCAAAGCACTCTCACAGATAGATATTAAAATAGATGCATATGGCTAGTGCAGGGGAAGGACAGTAGACTGGTTTGATTGCAAAGAGTCCCTTCCTAAATGTGACTAAAGGAAGGAATTACCCACCTGAAGAGTTCTATATTAATACCAGTTATTGTCAACGCTTGCTCATTAGCTCACTGTAAACAAACCTGTACCCATCATTGATATTATTAGCTGCAGCTGTGACAGTTACTTATGTTTCACCGATCCAGAAGCACCACATCAGTAAAAGGCGAATGCAGACTTTGACTTGGCACCGCCAGTTCTACCATGACTGGGAATCTTCACGTCTCCGTCGCAGGCTTTGGTCCGTTAACGCGCTGTTCTTCGTGACTGCCAAGGCAGTGCAGGATAACAAGTCAGTGCGAGGATCACACGCTGCCTCCAAGTTGTGTCACAGGCCACTGACTCATCAGTGTCCCAGTGTTCACTGAATCTGTAACCTAATCACAGACTGAAACCCAACTCACTTTATAGTGATTCACTGTACCGACTGAACCAGGGGGCCGCCTGGAGACACTTTTGTTTCATAACACAGGTGTAGCGTCGCAAACGTAGGGGACCCATGAGGAACTTCTTCTCTTGATCTATTGTCTCACCATCTCTGCAAAGAGCTTTCCTCAGAACGGAGCTTCAAAATCTGAGTTTAGAAACTATGGACAAATCTTTTTCTGTATCAAGAGGACAGCACGTACTGGATTGGGCCGATGCTAAAGAGGGAATGTTTGATTCGGTTTTATCTAGAAATCACCCCACAGCAGCACATGTAAGTTAATAATCATTTTTATTTTCCTTAGAAAAAGAAACTATCACAACTTCATTTGGTTACTGTACAGTTTCTCTTCTCGTAGTCACTCGGTCTGATAACAGGTTGTGATTTCATGCTGGAACACCAAACACCCTCCTACTAACGCACACCACTAGGTACAACATGACAGTATACTGCTTTTCTCTTTTTCAGCTTTCGCGTTTTACATCCTCTGATATTCTGGACTGAATAGCAAATAGAAATCACTTCTATAAAAAAAAAAATAAAATAAAATAAAACAGAGACAGAGTAGAAATCCCTGACATTCACACTTCGGAAACGAGGGACGAGAGAAAGAACTCTTTGAACGGTGTGGTCCATACAACGTGCACCTGACGTGTGAGTGTGTGTGTGAGAGAGTGTGTGTGTGCATTTTTTGGACAGCACCATAATTCACTGTATACGTGTGAGTTTAAGAGGTTCCCTGCCCTACATGAGACGAGAGTGAGAGACGATAAAAAGAGAGAGGTGGGGGGGGGGGGATCTAGGTCAGATTGTGGAGCATGCAGACCCCCTTCGCAGACGCATTCTCTTGATCTCAATGGACAGAACTACACGCATGCTCACCCGCGGTCGGGACTGTAAGTGGAACATAGTAAATACAATTACGGGATGTATCAAGTGTGTCTCCCTGAGAAACGCTTCTTCCTTCAGTACCATAAAAACACTCCTTCGTCACTAGCCCGACTCTTCCACAACACCCCCTGAAATTAAAAGAAATTTAAAAAAAAACACAGCTTGGCTCATATTAAACATACTGCTCTTCTTATCCCATGATCTATCTCACCTTGCACGATTGCTCCATTAGGAATAATTCAATTAGGTGACATTGATACAAACTTTTAACTTTCCACCTCGAAGGTGAGTATGTGCAATGAGTTGCAGCTCTCCTCTCTCTCTCTCTCTCTTTAATATAGATCAGTTTATGTGAGCCAGACTCACAAGGCCGGCTGAGTGTGTGATGGCGATACCTTTGTGACAGTTTTGAGTTTGACGGTCTCCTCACCCCCAGACGGTTCGCTGTGAGGAGGACGGGGCTGTAAATAGGTTGCCCGACGCCCTCTCAATGTGCCTCCCACAGAGCACCACGAAGCTAAAGCACACGCACAGACAAACATCACAGATCGAGCCGACATGCAAGCACCAGGGATCAGACAAAAAAAAAAAGAAAGGCAGAAAGAGAGCGTCACTAGAAAAAGACAACGAAGTGAAGACTTATTGCTGGAAAACGGTTTCCGAATTCTTCACTACATAATGCCAATCCCTCGTTCCCTGTGTGAAGGCGTTGCTGTTGTATCTACGAGGGAGAACTGTTTCAGTGTGTGCGGGGCACTACACTACCGCTTGATTCCGTTTGTTCTTGTCAATCACGTTGTGCTGAACAAATCTTTGCTTTGCCAACTCTAAAGTGATAAGAGTAATCTTTGTAGCCCTTTTCAAGTTTCACTCAAAGAAACGCCCGCCAAGAAAGGGAGGCGTCCTCCGAGTGTTAAGAGTGTGACGTGAGGCGAGAGTGCAGCTGTGCTTTGAGTGAGACTTACCAAAACACTCCACTTACGTTGAGAACACACGCAGGTTTAAAAACATTTGCTCATTTTTACGAAGCCGTCCACTCATACCAGAAAGTTTTTAAAAAGCATCGTCTTAGAATCAAACCTCATCGATGGCTGTATACACAAACTCCACAGCCGCTCAAGGAAGTCCTCTATATAAAAACTGTGTTTCTTTTATTGTCTCTCTTTCTCTCTGTTCAGCTAATATTAAAACCAGGAACTGGGGGTGTCGACACCTCTCAGTAGAAAACAAATAAAAAGAACAACCAAACGAGAGCTAGTCTCCACTTTGTCCTGTGCTCTGACTCCTCCTGAGGAGTGCAGAGGAGGAAGAGAGGAGATCACGGGGCTCTCTCTCTAGGAGACAAGTTTGGGTAGGACTGTGCGAAGAGGTATGGCCTCTACTGAGTCTCCGATCATGTTGCTCCTCAGTTTGTTGTTGACGGCTGCGCCACCTAAGCCGGGCCCTCCTTTGGCCAGGAGCGAGGGGAAGGAGGTGCTGTGGTGCTCGGGGAGCCTTTTCACAGGGGCCCCTTGGCTCTTCTCGGCCCCCAGTACAGGTTTGGGTAGACGCCGATACAGCCACGGGTGTCTGAGGGCCTGGATCGGCGTGAGACGAGACGAGGGGTCCCAGTCCAAACACTTCTTTATGAAGTCAGTAAAGGTGGGGTCCTCGCAGCCCTTGAGCGCAGCGCTCCACTCCTTGCTACCCGGGGGGCCTCTCATCTTGCCGCGGCGAGAGCGAGAGCCCGTGAGCACGGTGGCCCCCGTGGGCAAGGTGTTGGCTCCGCAGTAGCGAGGGTGGCCCTTGGAGTTGATGAAGTTCTTTGCCCGTTTGGCCTGCTCCAGGACCTTCTGCGGGGGCATGCCCAGCAGCTCCATGACGCAGGCCAGCTGGTCGCCCTCGTCCTCGCCGGGGAACAGCGGGTAGCCGGTCAGCAGCTCGGCCAGTATGCAGCCGAAGCTCCACATGTCGATGGGAAGGCCGTAGCGGGAACCGAGGATCACCTCTGGAGCTCGGTAGAAACGGGACTGGATGTACGTGTACACCCGCTGGTGCTCGAAACAGCTGGAGCCAAAGTCAATCACCTGGTAGAGAGAAGAGAGGAAAAAGGATCAATGTAGAAATTCTGTCATCGGTCTTCACTGCCTCCTCCCCCCCCCCCCCCCCCCCCCCCTTGCATGTATCAGGCGTCTTACCTTGATGCCGCTGCGTCCCTGCTGCTTGAGCAGGATGTTCTCTGGCTTGAGATCACAGTGGATGATCCGGTGCTTGCTCAGGGCCTCCAGGCACTGCAGGATGGAGTGTGCAAACTTCCTGACCAGCGGCAGGCTGAAGCCCTGGAACTTGTTGCGCTTGATGAGCTCGTACAAGTTCATGCTCAGCAGCTCGAAGGTCATGCAGATGTGGTTGCGAAAGGTGAAGTTCTCGAGCATGTGCACGACGTTCATCGTGCCGTTGCGGTCCTGCTTGCGCAGGTGCTCCAGGATGCGGATCTCCTCCTGCGCCTGCCGGTGGAAGCGCTTCTCGTTGCGCACCATCTTGAGAGCCAGGTGCTGCTGCAGTTTGTGATCGTACACCTTAGCCACCTGGCCAAAGCTGCCTTTACCAATGATCTGAAGGGGGGCGAGAGAGAGAAATACTGGGTTAGCTAAACATTAGTGAGAGACGACGTTATTAGTTTCCCAGACACTCGACCGTGACAGCCTACAAACACTTATATCAATGTCTGACCTTGAGGAACTCGTAGCGGTAAGCCAGGTGGTCGTGGGCGACATGAATGTATCCACCCTGCTCGTCGTCGTAGCCACAGTTGTTGGTGCCTCCGGCGACTGCGGGCCTCTTCTTGGCATTGGGTCCCACAAAGAAGATGTCTGGGTAGGAGTGGATCTCCGTCTGCTCCAGGGTGGTCAGTTGAGAGCGGTACAGTCTCAGAGCCTGGTCCGGAGTGAGAGGGCCACACAGCTTCCCACTGTTCCCTCCACTTCCAACTCCATTCGGCCCGGAGCACTCAGCGGAGCCCTTACTGGATTCAGTGCTGCATCAGACAAGCATGACAGAATCACGGAGTTGAACGATTGAAGTGGTGTCCCTCCTGCTTTTAAACATGCTTTGTGAGATGTTTTCGGTGTGTTTGTGTTTGGATCTGTCGCACCTGTCTACACTGTGCTCCTTGGACAGGCTGGAGACCGGGGCAGCTTTAGTGGGCGTCAGACCTGTGGTCCCACTGTTGTGAGGGGCTCCTGTGGTTATGGCGTTGATCTTTCGGTTGTTGGTGGAGTCTTCGTACAGGTACTTCACCTTCAGCTGACCACCTCGCACGGTGACCTGATCCCTCATTACGGTCTTGTTACCGACAACCTGTTGGAGAAAGACAATGGACAAAAAGAAAGCCGTTAGAAAATCCCTTTGGTAAATCCTCCACTGTAGCTTATTTAGTCTACGAACAGAGTGTACACGTTGTACTTCATTGTTTAGGAGACGTGTTGTGTGAATGTATTCCATAGAGTGAAAAGTGTTTTTGTCCATCTATAGACTAGTGACACATATAGCCCGCAAGATCTCAACTGAGAGGCAACAGAAGATACTGTAGTCATGCACACCATATGTTTTTGTTGGACTGAATCATGTTAATATTAAATAAATAACACCCAAATAGAGTTAATGAGTCTTCGTGGCTTGTTTTGCAAGCAAAGAAGAGCGACGACATAAACACAACTAGAGTCAGTGTGCTAGTAACTTGTGGAAAATGAACACACGCCCATTTGTTGGCTTTCTAGCCGTTAGCACTGAGGTAAAAGATTCAGGCAATCTTTGGCTCAGCATTTCAATAATCTTTCAATTTGTAAAGTCCTGCTTTTAGCTTCTTCTAAAAGGATTTGCATATTTTGATTGGGGTTCAAAATGACTACACAGTGCACAAAACAAAAGCAATTAAGTTTTAATTGAGTGATGGGGATATTTACATTTTGCAATCCTTTCTGGGACGACCTGAAAGGTTAGAAGAGTTTCAAAAAAGCTTGAGTCTGACTCTCGCCTGTTTGTTTCAGCAACCCCAGGAATTCCTCCCTCCTCACTATCCGTCTCTCACCAGCGGAAAGAACCCTCCACAAAATGATGGAGCTCAAGGGAAATGACAGTCATTAAAGTTAGATTATACCCCTAAGCTGTAGAAGCAGTTAATAAGACACACCAACAAACTCAGCGTGGTCTTCCTATATACAGACACACAGAGAGGCTCTAGCTCTCTCTATTTTACATGAACTCTCCTCATTTTGATGGCAGTGTGGGTTCACCCATCTGCGGGACGGGACATTTTTCTTTTCTCCCATTAGATTGCTGTACCGTGGAGCTCGTGGCTTCGGCTTGTACACGCAGCTGAGCAGGTCCACGGCTGAAACCGCGTCGGCCGATAAAGACAACGAGGAAACACACTTTAAAAGTGGGTGTTGACATATTAAAGTTGAGAGGGCTGAGCTCGCAGCGTGTTTGTGTTGTATGTTTGAGCCCTAAAATAGAGCTGGAATGCAGTTTCCATACTTGTAAACATATAGTCTTAACATATTACAACAGCCCCACTGCTGACCCAGGATCCCACACAGCTGTTGTCCCAAAGCTGTACTACAAAAACAGGGAATGTCATCGATTGAGCCCCGTCACCCAGACACACACAAAAATCAACGCTTTCTACTGTGATGGATTATTGATTGACCGGGCGGGGGGGGGGGGGGGGCAATTAGGGGAGAAAAAAAAAAGCATTTTGAAAAGTGACCAGTGGTGGAAATGAAAGCCGCTGTTAGAGCGTGAATCTTCTTTAGCATGGAGTCGTACTGCGGAGGAGAGTCCTCTGTGTGCAAATCTGCATGGCGCAACAGATGGAGGAGAGCTAATCTCTGTGCGGAGAAACACCTCGGTGTGCTTTTCTCAACCCGGAGCTGCACCGGGGATGACATCCGGTTCATTACTTTAATAGAGCACGAGGCCACTCCGAGCACAACGAGCTGAACTGGGGCGAGCCGCCGTCGGTCACATTTTACAGAGGGTATTACCTCTGTGAGCGTGACAGAAAATACAAAGGAAGAAGGACGAGGCTAGGAGAGAGAGAGAAACTAGGCCGCACCTCTGTGCAGGCCACAGAGACAGGATTACACGAGAGAGAAGCAGGGGAGGACGGGGGCGGGGGGGATGTTGATTGGTGATTTTGTTTGTGGGTCACATTTTCAAGCCCAATAAACCTTAACAATATATTAAACCAACCTTTTTCTCTTCTGCTGGTGTGTGAGGTCGATGGAGTAGTATTGCATGTGCGTGTGCATTTTCTGCCAAAGGGTCTTTTCAGAGAGGCAAACATAGCGGAAAGGAATCCAGATAGGATATATTTTAAGTGTTGCTAAATATATTCATGTAAAACATGTTAAAATCACATGTAGATACCAGGGATGTCTTAGATATGCCTATTTTGTATGACCAGAGTCCAAATGCTATTCAAAGATATAATAAAAAAAAATAAAAAAAACTTAATTCAAAATCTAATGACCAGAATCTTACTGATGGGAGTTACTGGTATACCTATAAATATGCATCACTACACTGTCCCGAACAGATATATTACAGCATGTCAATATATTGTGTTTTTGCTAAATTTGCATCCTGTGAACTGCACATTCAAACCACAAATGTTCACACGGTTGGTAGTTGCTGTTGGATCTCAGCATTTGCTTTAGCTGGAGACACAAAATGGCTACTTCCCTTCAGCTAATCTGACACGGCTCCCTGTAACACGCGGCCTCGTATCCCCTCGGGCAGTCAATCAATATTACTCTCATTGAAGGGTATAAACACTGAATTACACAAATTGGAGATAAAAAAAGATAAGCCTGCAAATCAAGACTGAGGGGAAAAGGAGCCATGTAAGTGGGATGAACGGGAACATGGCTGAGTGGGGAATATCTCTGAGGAACAGGATGTCTGGAGACAGAGAATGCTCCGGCACAGGATATAGGGCTTGTCGACTCTGTTTGTGTGTGTGTGTGTGTGTGTGTGTGTGGGTGTGTGTGGGTGTGTGTGTATACTTACTGTGTGTTTGGGCATAGGGGGCAGCCCAGACGGACTGTTTGTATCCGCTTCGTCTTTAAGGATGTGGTCTGTCCTCATGTACGAGTCATACAGACCATCACCATGGCGAGCTGAAGGAACAGAGGTAAACAAACAAATCAGTGTGACAACGTGGAATCATCAAAGTCTGCCACACAGACGCACTCGGGGATAAAGGCCGAGGGTGACGTTCAGAGGCAACGTCGACAGAACACAATCTAATCTCCCGAGGCAGACAATCCTGTTAGCTCAAACCAATAAATGATTCCATCAACCTACCAGTTCCAATGACTAACTTGAGATGAAAACTAATGATTTGGCGTGGCCCAATAAATCCCAGGAGCTAACCTCAGCAGGACAGATCCCACGAACGTGGTCTCTGTAACCCAGTAGGAATGCACATTGTCTGCCACCACATCCTAACCCACATTTACAGTGAAAGGGCCATTATTAGCAAGACACGTCCATTGTATCTATTGTTCCCAATACATTGTATCCCAGGCCAGAGATCCGACCTGACCAGCTTAGATAGGGCTTAGGGTCCCAGATTGCTAGCGCTGCAAGTGGTATTATTGGCCTAATAGGGGTAACAGATGCCGGTGTGACGACAGCATCTTTCCGTCTGTCCATCTGTCCTTTCGGGCCGAGTCATGCAGTGCACACACACACACACATACCAGGTGTGCTCAGAAACAGGGCCCGTATCGAAGGATGCGGGTGCTTGTCGTTCAATGGCGCCGTGTGTGTGCACACAAGCTCACCTCTGTGGCACCGTGCCAAGCACACTAATGTGAGATGACACCGACTAGATGGACGAGGGGGGAGCATTTGGGACTGTGGGAGGAAGCCAGTTACTCAAATGACAAACCTCCATCAGCCGGCTGTTCGTCTCAACGGCCGTTTAGCCCACAAGTTGCCACTGCAACAGAAGTAATGCTGTTAGAGTAAGCCATTTGCAGTGCTATTGTGTTGAATGAGCTCATTAGAAAAAAGGCCAACAGTGGTAGGGTTGGTGCTCTCTCTGACAAGCCCCTGAGAGTGTGCAGGTGCGTCAGAGCCCCGGTCCCTCGCGTGAGCTCGTCAACAGACCGATTAGACCTGCTGCCTGGATACAGGTGCATTAGACCTGCACAGCCCAGCAAACAGAGGCATTAGTGCTACACACACCATATCACTTTTTAAGGGGGAACCAAAAAAAAAAAAAAAAAATCAAACAGAGCTTTAACTTCTATGTAACCAAACATCCAGCCTACTATGTACAGCTGGCGGTGGGCTGCCCACACTGAGAAAACCAACTTCTGCACAGCAAAGGCTAGAGAACAAGGTTCAAGCAAGCAGGCATACAGTAGATCATGTGTCATAAGACACACGGGGGGGGGGGCCTCTGACAGAGGCTCGGGAGCAATGTCACAGTGTTCTTCTTCTCCAATATGCAAAACTCCAGCGACATGAACTATAAGTGCTGCTGCTGTTTTCACCTCTTCAGACTCTTTCCCCTGTCTTCGTGATTCTTGAAAGTAGGCGAAGTTGTTACAGAAATCCCCATTTCTTTTCTACAAATGGTTAACATTACTACCCCACACACAGAGAGAGCTGAGGTCAGGGCCCATATATATATAAAATAAGTACAACGATGACGGCCTTGGCTCAACTTAAAAAGTAGCCGACATAATCAAGGCTTATAAAAACATTGATAAGATAATGAATGCTTACGAGCAGGACGACAGGAAAAACAAGCAGCGCTTCCTGGGTCTGTCTTCCAAAGAACTCACATACGAGTCTTGCGATCGAGACAGAGTTGCAAATCAAAAGAAAACATGTTTACAACCCGCCTCTTGTGAAAGCTACATCTGTCCGTTCTCTGTCAATGAAAGTCATTTTAGGCGCAAGGTATTTCTGTAAATGCCAACAAGAGTAGCTCGAGGTTGAAACTACCATCATGTTGGCAGCTAACGGTTTAAATCCCTTTACCTCCGACATTAAACAAGACGTGGACAACAGTTAGGAAACAAAGGGCACAAACAAACACTGCAGCACTCTGTTGAGGGGAACGTTACCTGTTGCTATTGGGCCCTCTGGTTTTCTGCTTATTATCATCATGATTGCAATTAATATGTGATGCCAGCATCCGAAGTGAAGAAAAAAAAAATCCCGAATAACAAAAAAAAAAAAGTGGAAAAACAGATTAAAATCTAGAGTCACAAAGCAAAGTTAACTAAAAGCATTTATGACTTTGCCGTTAATCGGTTTAGTGTTTGCTAATACGTCCAAACACCCCTTGACTTGTGCTTTAAATTATAGAAGTCGGGGTTATTTTGTTTTTGGGGGTTAGCGAGCTTTCGTCTGGGCATTAACTGTGTTTTCTCCTTGTCTTACTAAAACCAGACTTGTGTATTCAGCGTGCTGCTGACATTAGCCTCGGCTGCAGTTTAAAAACACAAGGGGTGTGGGGGTCGTTTCTCTCGGCTAGCTCTGCCAGCTAGCTCGCACAGTCACAAAAACACTGGTCCGCGCGAGAGCCGTCCCCTCTGTTAAAAACCGTTTGAGTCCAAATATCACAGCTCGGTGGTCTGACCCGCGCGCCCCTCGCCTTTCTCTGTCGGTACAGTGAGTCGATCCCGAGCACCATTCCCGTGCTTATTCCCGGTTAGCTAGACTTTTGTCGTTAGCAAAGCTGCGATGCTACCACTCGGTTGAACCCCCCACGATTGTGTCCTCCTTCGGGAACAGCTTCGCTCGCCTTTGGGGATTGCTAGCCACAACAGGCTACTAGCGAGCTAGCTGTACTCGAGCCCCATGTTAGCTGTAGAGACAACCGGAGCATCGCCGTCGCAGAAAAAGCTTCGCCTGTACTCGGTGCGCTAAAGCGGCGGTGTTTAATCCGTCTTCTCCGGTTGGTAGAAGTGTCTTATTCGACGCAGCTGTGTGTTGTTGCTAAGGGCGTCTTCAGTGAGCCCGGAGTCAGCAGGCAAACAGGGAGGGAGCGGGGCGGTGCTTAGCATCCAGACAGCCAGCAGAGGGGCGGTGCTTAGCATCCAGACAGCCAGCAGAGGGGCGGTGCTTAGCAATCCAGACAGCCAGCAGAAGGGCGCCCCGCAGCGGCCACCTGGAGCTCTGCAGAGGAGCTGATGGTGGAGTGCGCTCAAGCAAATACGTTTTCTTGTCATTCAAGTGAAGTAATTGATAAAGGGGTAATAATACCTGATCACATATTCAGTTATGTATGTGGTTATACACATCAAATATATAGCTATAGATCATTAGTATAGGGTAATTAGCATTCAGTCTGCAGTTATAAATGGTGACAAGTCATCACTAGAGAGTAGTTATAACAATAATCCAAAACTGTGGGTGTAAGTGTAATCATTTGTTAATTGATTGGTCTAAGTTTAAGCTCTGCATCATTTTTTTAAAAGGTCAGAGGTCATTCAATGCATCGGCGCCCTATGAATCGTAAAGATAAAAAGACAAATTATTTATAAAGAGTTGCTTTTATCAAGGCCCACTGTTCTGTAAAGCATTAGTACATTATTTATTACCACTAATAAGGCCTTTTGTTACAACTAATAAACCTGTTACAAAGCGGTACCAAATGTTTGTGCCAATCATTTTACACAATCACATGTATCAATTAGTTGATCAACAGAAAAGTCATTTTTGAGTAAAAGTGGTTCTGACTTCTTGGAAGTAGTTGGTGGTTCTTTTTGAAGTGTCAGTCAGAAGAAACCGGCTATTGTAAGACGTCAGCTTGGCCTTTTAAAGGATTGTGATGGCCATTTTTCACATTTTATTTTTTACTTTTTATAGACCAAACAGGACCTCTCCTTCGGCCTACACATTGATGTCTGTCGGGAAAGCTAAAACGTGGACTGAAACTGGATACGGTATGGAGATCTATACAGGGATAGATATAGTTAGGGGCAGGGCAGAGGACAGACGGTGTGAGACCGGGCCGGCATGAGAAGGGGAATAGTCTAAATTCAGACAGTGATACATGCTTGGCAGAGGGTCATGCTAATCGTAGCTCTTTCTCAGAGGTGAGAAGAGGGGTCTGTCTATATTTGCTGCCATAACTAAGCACACTGACACAGTTTTAGGTGGCCCTTAAGGCCAGCTTGACCCTGCTGATTATTCTTAGATGGTGGTGTATAGTGAGAGTAGGGTGACGATGCCTATAACTTGATTTGCTTACTGCACTTTCTTCTCGAAAGGGTTCAAGGTGTAAGTGTGTGAATGAACCGACGCTCTAATCACAGCCAGTGAATTTACGAGCACAGCAGGGGAGTGGACCAGGTGCAAAGCTACCTATAGGTCCTTGTGGGGGTTGTGGGTTGTGGCTGTATTTGGTCTCAGAGCCTGTGACAGACACCAACACCTGTGGGGATTTATTAGTCTAACACCTCATTTTGAATGAATGCCCTTTGTAAACACAATATATCAGAAAAGGTATTGTAAAAAACTGTGTCACTGCAACAAAAAAAAGGTGTTTTATCATATCGAGCATAACGCAACATATGGGAACAAAATCGCACACACAAGTGCATCTGCATGCAAACACACAGTTTATATTTTGCATAATTAGATATTACCTGCTGTTTAGATGAGATACTGCCATCTGCTGGTGGTTTGAAAGTAATACAAGCTGGCTACTGCACTTTCTACTTCGGGCATGTCTGGACAATCTATTCTGCTCAAATCATTGAATCACTTAATGATGCATTTAGTGTCTCTATTAAGATATATGAATAAATAAATCTAATCCACGGCCGATTAAAACCGTGAAAATCACAAGATTTTAGTGTCTGTGGATTCGATATTATGGCATTGTGACAGTGTCTATGATGATGATGATGCACATAATAGCAGTATAAACAGCAAATTATTGATTCAATAGATGGTTTGAATTAAGTGTCTAGCTCAAAGAAACTTTTGCTGGACAGACCAACACAGATAAGTTAAACTAGTGTAGGTTCTTTATCTTTTTTAAAACCCAACCCTGTTTTAAGGAACTAAAAAAAAAGCCTTTTCAGTCGAGGCAACTGAGAGGGATCACTTCAGGATTTCTTCTAGGACACGCCCCCCATGGTTTATAGCTTCCTAAATGTTTCATGTGATGTGATAAATGTCTACATGATATGATTTTCTGCTCATGTTGGGGTTGAGGGAACCATTTTGGGCCTCATCATGACGTAGAGACAGACTTAATATGCGGAGGAGTAATGTTTTATATGCTGCTGTATGTTCTTCAGTGAAGCCACGTCGAAGCCAAACACACGAGGGTACGAGAACAGTTCAATAAAGGGATGACCTTTTTATTTCATTGTGATATTCTGTACAGTTCTACTGCTATATTTATACACACACACTTCTTCAAATTCAACAAAATAAATTGCAGAAAAAAAGCATTAAGTCTCATCATCCTTGAGATAATATCATAGGGATGAGGTGGACCATGAAATAAATAACACGCACCACAATCTCACACACACACACACACACACACCGACCCATACAGAGGGTTTGTTGGATAGACAAATGTATTAAGGGTGCTGGAAAGAAAGGAAAATGTCAACACCACCCAAGAAACACAGATTTGCACACATGCAAAAGCACCCACACATACACTCAGGCACCTGTGCGCTGAAACACACCTTACATAGATCCACAGGGGCACATGAAACAAAAGGCACTGCCAGCAGGAACAGCTTGGGCTTTGGGTGGTGGCGTTAAACATAATCAACAGAGAAGCATGTGCTTATGGACAATGGGCCTCATTTATCAGTATTTCTATTGTATTACATAAAAGATGAATAATGTGTGGGAAGTGATTACAGTAAATGCTGTGGTTCAATGCATTCATTTGATGATGCATGCATGTTGAATATCTTTTCCAAAGCAACCTAATTTGCAGTTGTGGTGTGTTATATTACGTGTGCACTCAATGCGCGTTTTTAATACTTGATAAGTGAGGCCCAATGAGGGAGCGCTGAGAACACACAGACACTCATTATAAAACACAATTCACATTATTCTCCCTGCCCTAGATGGGTGCATGCACACACACACACACACACACACACACACACACACACACACACACAC